TTTGGTGGCTAAGCCTGTTTTACATGTGAATGCCCTTTAGAAGAAAGGGCAGTCATAGCTTCGTCGTTTGCTGGGGAGAGAAAGGAGAGGCCTCTGGGTCCTGCAGCCTCTTCCTTGCACCTGTTGACTGATTCATCTCATGCATACATAGTGTGTACCTTTCTTGTGCTAGACATAAAGCCAGGTGCTGGGAGTAGACAGACATGGTCTTTGCCTTCATGGAGCTTACAGTTAAATAGTGGTTGCTCAGGACTGGATACATAATTTGCAGGGCCCTGTACAAAATGAAAAGGTAAAACCTCTTTTCAAAAATGAAGAGTTTCAAGACAGTGCTAGTAGAGCACCAAACCAAGCACTGGCAACTGAGTGCTGGGTAGACTGTAAGGCCAGGAAGCTGGTCCTGTGGTTTCTTTAGGGCCCCTTGGTATAAGGAGAGGGAGTTATTCCTCCATTATTATCCCAGTCTTCCTTATCACTGGGTGTGGGAATTGAGCAGCCTCTGAAGAAGAGGGTGTCTTCCTTGACTCAGTGGACCTATGTAGAGAAATGATAGAACACAGATAAAACGCAAGAGAAATATTAAATAAATACTAGTTGCCTGAGACATGTAGTTAAGGCCATGTAGACATATAAAGAATGTTCTACTTTTTTTGAAACATCTGAACATAAATCAGATGTAATGACGGAAACCTTATCATCCAACATCTTGTCCCGTGGAGCAAATAGGCTGTGACCAGTCTAATTGTTACAGGCTTGAAAGACAGTCTCTATAGAAAGGCCTGTGTCCTGTTTGGGAACACAGTTTACCAGTTTCTATAAAGCAACAAACAACCTTCCTGAAAGTAATAATGAAATGAAGAGTAGCTACAATAGGATAGTTTTTGTATTTCCCAAATATTCTCTGGAATATTATTTTAAAGAAAGAGATTCTACCTAAATTGGGTAATTTGACAAATAAGTTTTGGAAAGACTTCCTGCTCTATTCCCTCTTGGAGATGTACAATTAATATTAAAGTCCCAGGGCTGTGAAGGAAGTCCTTTAAACTTTTACCACAATTTTGTTTGACTGTGACACCTTTTTAAGAAAATAATAACTAATAACAATGTAGTTAGAGAACAGGGATTCTGAAGCATAAGCTTTGGGAAATGCTCGTGATGTACTTCTAAACTGCTAAGATGCATAATCTGGGATCACAGGATCTGGGTTTCAGAGCCACTTAGAAGTATGGGCAAGTTACATGGTCTTTTGGAGTCTGTCACCCAGTCTGTTAAATAATAATATCCACCTCACACAGTTGTGTGGTTTAACTGAGACACTACGTTTAGTTTACATGAGCCACTGCAAAATGAGAAGAAACATTTTGCAAACTGTGGAGTTGTCAAGGAAAACGTTTAGTGATTATTGAACTGATATTGAAATAAACAAGAACTATTATCTCTATTTGAAAGTGGGTAAACTGAGACCTGGAGCGATTAAGAAAGGAGGCTGGAGTCCGTAGCCATTTTGTGGCAGAGCCAATTTCTCAATTCACAGTTCTCAGCAGGATGATTTTTAAACCAACTTTGGTTGTAGATTTTAGTTTGGAAAACAGGCCATCTCCTTGACAGGCATGTCCCGTGGAACAGCTAGAGGCAGAGGCTGGCATCAAAATGCCAGCTTTTCTTTCCTTTCTAGCATTGACATCTGATGACAGCAGAATGATGAATTCAAGGTGACAGATTTCTAGAGGATTTGTGTCCTCTTTAGGCCAGTATACCCTGTCATCTATATGAATCCCTTTTCTATCCTAAAAACCATCACTGAGGCTGACTTAAAAAGGAAAGCGGCTTTTCTTGTCATGAGTGAAAAAGAACCTGGTATGTTCTCTGTTGTGTATCTTTGAATGGGGAGGACAAAAACTTTGGAGAGGTGTGTTTTAGAAAAGAAATCGCTGTTTTTCTTCCTTCTTTAAAATGGAGTGAAAAATGTAGAAATGGGAATTAGAGTTTTTTTTTTTTTTTTGAGACAGAGTTTCTCTCTTGTTACCCAGGCTGGAGTGCAATGGCACGATCTCGGCTC